TTTTAATTGAAATTTACAAGTGTTTTAAAAGAAATTTATACAGTCCCTGATATTAGGAAAGATACCTTCCAACAAGAGCTATATTTCTGTTGCAGTGCATTATTACACTCCAGTAAACAGAGCGATTGGAATACCTAACCATTTGGGAATTTTATTAATACTTACCTAACGATAACTCTGCAAGCTCCTTTTCAACGAAAATATATTTACCTTCATTTCAAAACGAAACAAATCCAACTGCAAATAATTACGATTTAAAAAGCCCTCCTGTGGTAAATCATGGTCTTCAGTCTTGAATCAAGTTTTAAGTGGCACATCGACGGTGAAACTACCAGACCACGTCTTGGTTTGCGATGTTGTAGACTTCGCCTGTCGTACTTTAATCTTCAAATGGAAAACTACTCAACATCAATTCTTGAAAACGTTTGAAACATATGTTTTTTTCTTCTCTTTGCGAAGTAAACTCTAGGGAAATTTCAAGAAAAAATTGAAGGTACTGATTTGTTCTCCTTGAAAAAAATAAAATGGAAGCGGAGATTTTTAAACACTGCAAACGAGATACCTAGGTACCTACATGGTCTGGTAGTTTCACCGATATATAATAAGGCCATCGCTTTTGCATCATTGACTTTAAAAAATTACACTGAGGCTGTGATATCAATGAGAAGAAAATGGGACCCAAGAGATTGCCAGGTTATGTCGATTAGTCAAATAATAACAATGCCTTAAAAAATCCCACTATAGTCTCTTCAGTGACTTACGAAACGCATATTTCCTCTTTCTGAAAGAAGTATAAACTATGACTGACAGAGTTAAACCCAATGGCACATGAAAGGTGCCCTGAGCGAAGTGAAGTTTTATATTAGAGGAGAGGTACCTATGAGTGTTGTAAATCCGTAATATTTCTCTCCAGAATATTCACCAAATTTATTTGTTCCTCGAGTTGCCTTATCCGAAAAAAGCACAACAGGAGCGCGGCTAGATAGCAACAGATATGCAACAGATAGCAACAGATGTTATGATACGAATTCTGGAAGCAACATTGAAAGTTCTCAAATTTAATTGAAAATGAGAGGTTAGATTGAGCCATCATCATGGCCGGTCAGCTCGTACAACGGGCCGTTAGAAGTACCGCAACCGAAAGGCGGCTGAATCTGGAGATGTCAAATTCAAATAATAGATGTGAATACCGATGACGGGAAACTATAGCAGAAACTAGCAGCGGAGGGCTTGCCATCAAATATTGTCCATTCAAATAACGCGCCACACGAGGTACTCTCCTTCGTCATCACAATGGCCGCCGCTCTCTCTCCACCCGCCCTCTGTTACACGTAAACATGTAGACCCAATCAAATTAGACGTTAACTATTTAGACCTAAACTAATTAGACGTAAAATATTTAGACGTAAATCTTTTAGACCTAAACACATTAGACGGAAAAATTCCATCAGATTGGCAGGATAAATTGCTTGATATTTTTTTAGACCTAAAAATTTCGTTTCCTCGAGAGTAGAAACATTAGACGTTAAATATTTAGACGCTACTGCGTTAGATCAAAACGATTTAGATGAAAACAGTTTTAGACGCTATTAGTTTAGACGTGAACGATGGATTAGACGTTAACTATTTAGACCTAAACGGTACCCCCCGTTAATTTTGTAGGTATATACCAGGGCTGCCAGAACGTGTACTTTCGGTACACACGTGTACTATCGATTTTCGTTTTGGATTATTTTGTACTTTTCAGAATTCGGATTAATTGTGTACTTTCGCCGAATTTTGTGTACTCTGTGTACAATTTTTTTCAAAATTAGGAAATAATCTCGAGTTTTCAATTTTTATCTCTCAAAGTTATAGATTTTTGTTCCTTGCCGTTTAGTTGGCTGCAAGCTTTCACTCAGGGCTGCCAGAACGTGTACTTTCGGTACACACGTGTACTATCGATTTTCGTTTTGGATTATTTTGTACTTTTCAGAATTCGGATTAATTGTGTACTTTCGCCGAATTTTGTGTACTCTGTGTACAATTTTTTTCAAAATTAGGAAATAATCTCGAGTTTTCAAAGAATTTTTAAAATTTCCCGCCGAATTAGTGGCGCAAATAATTTATTAGGCTAAAATTCCCGCAGAAATCCCTCTCTGTTATTGTTCTCCCAGTGATCAACTGGAGAGAACTTTCCTTTCACCCTGGGCCGTTTAATCAATGTAAAATCTCGAAAAATCTCGATCGCTAGTGAGATTTTCCTCTGTTCTCTTGTAAAAAATCGCTTGAAAGAGCGATTTTTTGTATGTGTGAGTGCGCTCCCATAAGATCTGATGTAACCGCTTATCGTATTAGTGCGTATTTTACAGGGGTTTTTCGAGACTACCGATAGTCGCTGTTCGATACGTCGATACGTCGATTCAATTCTAGACCTACCAACCCTTTCCTACAAAATACCCTGTTCCTTCTGAGTTTCCTTAACTTTGCCTTCTTTAACTCCGTTTCTAAATAAACTGTATTAATTATCTGAAGTTCTTTATATCTTAAAGCTTCAATTTCCAATATGAATTTCCTAACTTTTTCACCATTTTCCTTATAAAACAAAATCAATTTACGTATGTACTTTTTACCCTTGTGTTTAGCGCTTGTTTCATTTGTGCGTCAGCTTTGATACAATGGCGGATTGTTTACGTTCATTTTATAGTTGAGCATTTTCCAATTTTTTCCTTTAAATCTCTTCGAAAAAGTCCCAAAATGACTTAGCACTCTTTAAATAAGTAATTCACCCCTTCAACTTAACATTGATGGTACTTTGGATGGTTCCACCTTTTGCAGTGAGAGAAACTGAATTGCCGAGTTTCTGAGCTTGCTCCCTGGTTTGTCCATGTCCTTCGGTTTGATTTGTGATTTGTGCAACTTCCTTAATGGATAATCTTACTTATCAAAATACTCTTTGACTGTGCGTGGAGTGTAATTTTGTCTTGAGTCTTGACAGCATTAGCACCATGTGAATCAAAATTTCAATCAACTCCATTTTTGCCGCAGGGTAGGGATCCTTTAGCTATCCTACCGCTATCAGAGTGCTGTCGAGAAACTAATCACAACTGTCGGTATGTTCTGTTGAGCAGTTATGTAAATATAAAACGGTTGTATTTGTTAGTCAATTTCTTTTGTATGTGAACAATAACTGAATGTCCAGAATTCCAAACATCTGACTGTATCTCAAGTATATGTCAGAAATATTTATCAAGGTCAGAGTTTGTGAATCCTTGGCAGCAGTTAATGAATTTCCCCTAAGTAACAACTTCGCTCAACAAAGTTTGGTAAGTAAGTACAGCTCAGATCCACCATCGTACACATATAATTACATATTAGTTTAAAATCAGTGCGAGTAATGTTTTGAGGGTAAAGTGTTCTCTATTCTCCAACATTTGTTAGCAGGGGTGCAAATTGCGCGGAGGCTGAGAGGTACTTGTTATTTTTCTAGATTTTTCAGATTTGCAATTCTTGTGGAATACTTACTGTGACTTTGGCACACATTCTAAAATTAACAAGAAATTCCACAAAAGTTTGATCAGCGCGTTGTGCTGACCTTCTTGCGAGAACCTAGCGCGAAGCTGAAAATTGCAGAGGCATGAAACAATGTTCACTTTGGTTTGTGAGATTTTCTTATAAACTTGGCATCTTCATATTTGTCCGACTTTTACCAAAATTATCTTGAAATTATCTCTCCCATCACCATATAGCAACAAAATTAGCATAAACATTCTTGATAAGAGGTGGCATAGTATCCAGAGACCCCTGAGAGTTTTGTATTAAATACTAATGATGCTCCTCTGGAAGAATTAAAAATCGACCATTCTAAACTACATACTTATATCAACAGCTCTTGCTGACGATAACCTGCTACCTTCATCAACTTAATCTAAAGTTTAGAAAAATAGATAAGCCAACTAATGTACTATCATTTCCATGCAAACAGTCAACCTTGTATTAATTGAGGAATGATAAATACAGTTTTTACTATGCCTTAGAGTTCTTACCATAATTCTTACCATTTGGAGTCAGGAAATAAAAATAATTGCTTCATTGTTTGCATTTTTATTGGCCAACTAAGTTCACAGTGGAACTTTCGTCTACTTGGTGTTAATGAAGGTAAATATTTATTCTTCTCTTATTTGGATGAGAATTACCTAGGTACATCAAATAGGTATGACATACTGTGACACTGGGTGCCGCTACTAGGTACTCTACTTATATTTCAACGATACTGGAAAAATTCATATAACTCAGGTAAGGGCGTTATCTTGCAAGCTACAGAGCTAGTAATTAGTCATTTTTGGATCCTTTGAGATTCTTTCATCATTCAGAAATAAAAAACTAAATTCAGCTGGAACAGGCACATTTCTAGGAAGGAATGTGACGGATCATTTATATCTAATTTATATCTCATCGTCATCTCACTTATCAAACAATGCTTCTCGTCCTCATCTTGTTCTAATCTTGTTGAGAGCAGGCGAAGATTTGAAATGCGCGCTACAGATTCGGTAGTCGCCTGGCAAAAGTGGTACCCGCCTGACGTCACAAAACTTCAAGATGGCAACAAAAATCAAACTGGGACAATAATCAAAGAAAAGGACTGTGGTGGTTACAAAGGAATACCTAAATGATCATTCATTTTTTCGAACCCTTATAATTTAAAAAAATTAATTTGAAGTGAAGTACGTATTTGGAGACTTTACACTTTACTGGGGAGAACATCCAATGCCCAGCATGAGCATTGGAAACGTCATTCGTGAACTCAAAATGACCGACTTGTTTGATATTTCCTAGAGCGATAAAGGTGGTACCTTCCATCTGAAATTTTTGGTCTACCTGTGTGTGGGCACGCAGAATTAAGGTTGATTGTTAGGAAATTCAGATTTTAGTCAGTGCTTCTCAGAACGATCTTGTAAAATATTTTAATCTTTGCATTTTTGAAAAAACAGAGAGTGTATAATTGGGGACAGGAACTTTCCTTTTTTTTTTTTTTTTTTTTTTTTTAACGACAGTATAAAGACAGGATAAAGACAAGTTCAAAGTTGCACATTTTGAGCTTCTATTTCAACGCGCATGTCTGAGAAATCCAAGCTGACGACTAAAAATATCGGGTTAAATCAAACAATCAAAGTTGAAAAAACAGAAATTTCCGTCCAAACTCATTTTTTTTCTTTTGTTATTAAAATCAGACTTATTCCAAACACCCCCTGACCACTGCCTAGGCGCAGCCCCAGAGGAACGTTTCGCACTCTCTATGTGCTGCTCCGGGAGCCTGCGTGAGATGATCTGAGTAGAGCGGGCTCATTTAAGGACTAGCCTTTTACCTATCAAAAGCCGCAAAAATTATGAAAATCAGCCTGGTAGATCATTACGAAGTATTATAAAAGGATGAACATTTACATCGTTTAATGGGAAAATTCACAGCTGCATTACGTTATATGAAAAAAACTTTATCATATTTCAAAAATATAAATATTGCGAACTCTACTAGGGCTATCAACCGTCAAAAGCTGCGAAAGTTTCAGAAATTGACCCTGTAAAATGGTGGGCTAAAAGTGAACTTTTAGGGGATCAGCTTACCACTGTACATTAAAGCATCCCTATTACCATACATGTCTTTTTAAGTCTCTGTAAAATCATCCCATGGCATTGTCACATTAAAATCGAGAACGCAGTAATTGAGAGCAATCGGATCCCCAAGATTATAAGTTTTTGAAAAATTCTTTGTTGAGAAGTGCCAAGGCTCTTCATCTGCTTTGTTTTCACTGCGAACAAAAGAATGAAAACCGTATGTATGATGATGTATTGTATGTTTTTGGAGACGAACAAATCTTGAAAAGTAAAATATTTGCTAACCTCTTGAACACTGACATACACTGAAAAAAAATATTGCTGAAATTGCCGTGCACGCGGGTATTTCATGGCATGATGTAGCTAAAAAACGAACGTGCAAACCATGCAGGTAAAATCGCTACACAAATTTCAGCTAACTTACACACACGCGTGTAGGTGATTTTGCTCTCTAAAAAGCTACGTCTGTTACCTTTTTAGTTATTCTTCCGTAAATTTCGCTATTTTTCCGTAAAATCCGCTATTTCAGCCTAACTATTGAGCTATTTTTACTGTTCGCAAAGTACCAATACCAAAAAATGCAGTTACACTTCCAAGCCACTCGATGCAAGATTAACTGCATGAAGGCGCGCAGATGTAGCAAATCGGTGTAGCAATTCGTGCTAGTCGTTCACTTGATTCAACACCGTGCACGGATAAGAAAGCTTTACGAAGTGAAGCAAATTTTGCTCCACCCTAAATCGGTGAATTAGCAATCCTTTTTTTTTCAGTGTAGTTACTAACCAAAACTTCTCATCAACGAATATATTTCATTTGCAAAACCTCAAATTTCTCCAAGTGACTCAGAATAACTTGCATTATTACCACAAAATCTCGAACAAATAAATGTGTAGATCCGGGTTTTTGCAAAACATTTTGAAAATATATAAAAGCCTCCCAACAATAAATAATTACGTACTTTTCAATTTAAAAAAACTTCAAGAAGTTCATTCAAAATTAGCTGAGATTTTTTAACGTGATGGAATTAATTACACGTAAAAATTAATGCGCAAAGAGAGTTGTAATTCATTTTACTTAATTTTTGATTTAACTATTACCAACCCAACTCTCCTTTATTTCCCTCTCCCTTTCCCACTAATTAGCACTGAGAGGCTTTAAATGCACTTGATTTGTCTTGGCGTCCAACTCTCACGGATTCTTGAACGGAGGAACGATGAACCAATCAAGGAATTTCACTCATTTTCAGATCACCGTGAAAAGAACAATGAAAACAATACATGTGGTTTGTTTTTTTTTTAAACGTTTATAGATACCTACCTCCTTACTAAATTTACCGTCATGTTCAGGATTTTTCTCGGTTGCTCAAACATGAAAAAAACTAATCTATAAATTCCTGCAACAAACACACATTCTTTAATTTCTGAGAAAAATCGCTGCATATTTTACAGACACATCATATAATAATCATTTGATTGAAATTCTTAAGGGGAAGACCGCAATTCATAATACCATTGTAAGTTTTTGGTAGTATAATTTAAAAGAAGAATATAGATTACTACCCCAAAAAATTGAAAGCGAACCGATTTTGAATGTCAATAGTATATTGTATTCAAAGTGACATATCGACGGTGTAAGTCGGCAATCACATAACTCGTTTGCGGTGTCTGAAAATCTCCGCCTCTTTGTTATTTTTTTAAAGGAAAATAAATTGACATCATTCCTTGAAGTTTTTGCAGAATTATCTTCGCACAGAGAAGAAAAATCACGGCAGTTTTAAAGAATTGTCGTTGAGTAGTTTTCCGTTTAAAAAATAAAGTATGGCAGGAAATCTGCGACGTCGCAAACCGAGTTATGTGATTGCCGCCTTACACCGTCGATATAAGCAAGTTTGCTATATTTTTTTGTTTTTTTTTATTGCTTATTTGCAGACAGGGAATTACTCTTAAAAATCCCCCATGAAATGAAGATGACGTTTCAACGCAGTTCCTATCTACATATGAATTCATTCAATTAGAGTAGAATTTGTAGTCACAAAACAAACCTTTGATCGCGGTCAGAAAAATTTAGTGTAATGCTATTGAGATTATTATGCTAAATGAATTTTAATCACAAGGATTAGGTATTTCAAGGGTATGCTTCCTTTCATATTGATTCCGGTGAAATTAAAACCTATCTAATTTATTTTGTAAAGATTGGTTCAAAAAAGTAAAATGATAGATACTAACCAAAATGAAATCCAGTTAGCAATCCTTGATATTTCTTTATATTTTCACCCTCTCCCCACTCCTTCCCGGGTATATTTCCAAGAACCCAGTGAAGGTATTCTGGAGTAACTGTTGCTAACTTTTTTGGGGGATCTGATCCTATATTGAAAGGTGAAAGATATAATAACCATGATTCTAATTACAAGTGGCAATGTAAAATTTAAACCAGGTTAAGTTAGTATTAGTAAAACTAAGCTTGAATTCATCGGCGTAATTGAAATCATACTAGAAACATAGGCGTAGCGTAGCTAGGTCATTCCTCGCGGGGTATGGAATACCTCCCAGCTCAGAGGGGGTCCGGGGCGCTAATCTTCCTTCAATTTCTGCCTAAAAATCACTCAGTTTTATGCATTTTAAGGTTAAAATACTTTGAAATTGTTGCATTCAACAGATTATTCACTTTAAAGGCATCCCTTCACGGGACATGGCGACAGAGACTTACCGTTGAAGAAGGTGTTTTTGCACCATCCAGAATTTCTGGGGGGGGGGGCAGATGATACTATTTCCAATTCTAGGGNCCCCCCCCCCCCCCTCCTACGCCTCTGACTAGAAAGATAACCGTTCGAATAAAAAGAAAATCAAACACCGAATTTTCATCATGTAACAATACTCATTTTCAATATTTTAAAACTGAAGTAAGTCCAAACAAAAATGTTCAATTAATGGATCTTTATACAAATCAATATGTCAATATAATTATTGATATGTCATACATAATAATAGTCATTCAGCTTTCATTTCAAGTTGTATCTTATATTCGTTGTTAAAGAGCTTGATGCAAAAACGGCTTTTTTCGCCCCCCCTCTGGAAGTTATTCAGACTTTGTCTATTGATTACTCATACTTGAGCGCTTCTTTTCCCAAATTTTCAGACCCCCAAAAAAATTTGGGGGGGAGCTAGGGGGGGTGGAAGTCAAAACCTGTGAACCTCGATATCTCTTGAACAAAGAAAGATATTGAGGTCCGGTTTGGACGAAAAATCGTCTAAAATTGCATACTTTACGATTTCAAATGTCAAAATCCCGATATCACATTTTTAAGTCAACATATGTGCTTTTATCCAGTTTTTAGGTCTAGAAAATTTCTTTTAAACGAAAAATTTACAAAGATCTCAATTTTTTATTTGAACCAAAACCAGTTTTTTAAATTGTTCGTTTTTTTCCGCATCCAACGAGTGGTCCATTAAGCTGACGGATCAAACGGTTCCGGAGTTATGATCGATTGAAGTTTCCGCTCAACGCGCGCCGACCGATT